AGGGGACTGTCAGTCAGCACTCCACTCCCAGCAGGCCTGCTCTCAGATCCAGGAGCAGTATGCAGCCCACACCCCAGCTCTGGGACTTTGCACTCCCCAATACCCTTCACAGCAATCCGTCCCTGTGCACCCACTCTCCAGGCCTGCTCAGGAACCAGTGCTGCCTCACCCAGCCAACTTTGAGGTCACGGCCAGCCGGTTACAGGAGCAGGTGCTACCTCCAAAGAAGTGTTCATTCATTAAGGAAACACGCTGTGCCACACAGTCCTATCATCACCCCCACCCTACCGATAAGGAGACTGAGGCACAAAGACACACAGCTACTGGCAGGGCACTGGTCAAGGGGGGAAAAAAAACAAACCTATGAAGATGACCTTACCATTTGGAAAAAGAGTCTTTGCAGATGTAATTAAGGGTCTTGATATAAGGTCATCCTGGACTTAGGGTGGGCCCTAAATCCAAAAATGAGTGTGCTTATAGATCAAGACATAGAGACAGGGAAGAAGCTGTGTGAAGACTGAGGCACATGCCTGGCCAGCACGGCTCGGCGGTTGAGCATCCACCTATGATCCAGGAGATCCGGTTTTACTTCCGGTCAGGGTATGTGCCTGGGTAGCGGGCTCAATCCCCAGTGGGGGGGGGGGGCGTACAGGATGCACATCATTGATGTTTCTATCTCTCTCTCCCTCTCTCTCTCCCTTCCTCTATCTGAAATCAATAAAGACATATTTTTAAAAAACAAACAAACAAACAAAAGACTGAGGCACAGATTGGAGTTCTTCGCTGTAAGCCAAGCAATACCTGGAGCCATGAAAGCTGGAAGAGGAAAGAAAGGAGCCTCCAGAGAGAATGTGGCCCTGCGAACACTTTGATTTCGGACTTTCGGCCAGGAACTGTATGAGAATACATTCCTGTTGTTTTAAGTCACCAAGTTTGTTATGGCAGCCTGGGAAACTAATACAAACAGGTTCAGCTGATTCCAGAACCCTTGCTGTCAACCCTACACCAATGTTACATGAACATAAAGGAGGAAAAAAATCTTTCAGACTTGTGAGACTGTATCATCCCAGACTAAGGTTATCAGTTTGAAAAACATGAACTTTCTCCTCTTTACAAGTGATTGTGAAGAGCGTGTACTTAGTATAAATTACCTCGAAAAAAGAGTGTTATCTTCATAGCTCATACAACTCAAGATTATCAGCAAAAACACAAAAGTAAAAGTTCTTCTGGACAAAGATGCTAATAGGGGAAACTGGGTATGGAGTATATGGGAACTCTCTTGTACTATCTTCTTAATGATCCTAGAAACCTCAAACTGTTTTTAAAATTAAAAGAAGTATACTTACAAGAGAAATCAAATTCTCCTGGAACTCCTTTGTGGGTCAACCTTGGGACACTAGTTTGAGAAACTCTAGGCTACTTTACCCTGTTTCCCATTAATGCCTGCAGAATGAGTGGCCTTCTTTATGTTCTGGGGGATCCTACTGAGCTTAAGATGAATCAAGTGTCTGTCCTGAGCGCTGATGCCCACCTGGGACACCTTTCTCCCTTCTCATCTGGCCCAAGACCTAGCTCTGCCCCAACAAAGAGGGATAGGACATTTGGGAAACAGAGCTCCCGAAGTTTGGGCTTTCCAAGTCAAGGCACAGGGAGAGCCCTGTGTGGACCAACGGCTCTTCACACCCTATGCCCAAAGTGGCAAAAAATTCACACAGGCCAAAGCTAGTAAGAGACTTCTGAGTGGTTCCCAGAGCATCTGTGTAAGAAACCCTGAGACAAAGCTAAATGAAACATAATAGCAAGATTTGAAGGAGGAATGAAGAATGGGAGAGAACAAATAAGAAAGAGTAACAAGAGAAAGAAAAAGATGAACTACAAAGACTCGGGGTCCTTGGCAAACACATTCGTGATTTTTTCCTACTGAAGTGTCAGTTTTGAAACTAGCTTTTGAAAACGCACCCAGCTTCTCACATCCCCTAAAAGGAAGGTCAGAGGACCGTGGCACAGGAGGAAGCTGTGTTACCTCTTCGGAGCCCGGCATCAGGACGGGGGCCCTACCCAAACACGTTATCACCAGGAGCACATCCAGGGGCTCAAACCACCCTCCCCCTCTGCCCTGATCTACATGTTACCCACCCACTCAGGGGGTCCCAATACCAAGCCCTCCAGATGGGTGGAAGGGGTCCTCTAAGCCGCCCCAGACGGGGCACCACTTTCCAACTGTCCTTAGCAGTCCGGGGAGGGGAAGGGGGAGATGGTGTTCCTGAGATGGCCAGAAACTGCCCACACCCATCTCTCCCCCCACCAAGGCGACCACACCCGACCGCGAGACTCCCACCTCTCCCACACCTCAGGCCCCCTTCTCTCCCCCC